CTTGGGTGATAGGAGTGTCTGAATGAGGTGACTTTGGGCTCCTGGGTGAGAGCTGGTCACCCAAAAGACCAAGCCTTGATTAGAAGCGTGGACGTCTCAGCTTTGTCCCCCCTGCTCTTGAGAGGGATGAAGGGCTGAACGGGGGAGTTAAGGACCTCTCACGCCTACGTGGCGAAGCCGCCGTAAAACTCCCGCAGGTGTGATGTTCAGAGAGCTTGTGGGTTGGCGAACACACAGAGAGCTTGGGGTTCTCTGTGTGCACAGAGAAGGCATGGGAACTGCTCGCCTGCTCACACACCTGCTCTGCGCGTCTCTCATCTGGAGGTACCTCTGTGCCCTTCCTGTCTCTAACGCAGCGGTTCTCACCTTGTGGGTCGCGACCCCTTTGGGGGTTGAATGACCCTTTCACAGGGGTCGCCTAAGACCATCGGAAAACACAGATATAATTACATACTGTTTTTGTGATTAATCACTATGCTTTCATTATGTTCAATTTGTAACAATGAAAATACATCCTGCCTATCAGATATTTACATGACGATTCATCACAGCAGCAAAATGACAGTGATGAAGTAGCAACAAGAATAATGTTATGGTTGGGGGTCACCACATGAGGAACTGTATGAAAGGGCCGAGGCATTAGGAAGGTTGAGAACCACTGCTCTAGCGAGTTAATCAGCCCTGAAGAGGGCGTTGTGGGAGCCTCTCGCTTATCGCCGATGGGTCACAGTGCAGGAGGCGACCTGGACTTGCCGCTGGCACCTGGAACGGGGAGAGGCTTGGTGGGACGGGCCCTTCTCCTGCGGGGCCTCATGTTATCCCGGGTGGATAGTGTCAGAACTGAGTTAGATGGTAGAACACCCACCCGTGTCACAGAGCGCTGCTTGGTGTGGAGACCCCCGCCCCCACAATTGGTGACTAGCAGTGCTGTGAGTATGGTGGCAGTGAGCAAAGGAAGGTGACACACCAGGAAGGACACCGTAGGGAAGAACTGTTTTTTCCCTATACGGGAGGAAGACTAGGGGGTTTCCCCCCTCTGAACACATCCCCCTTTTGTTCCTCCCTAAAAACATCCTAACTTGGGTCAGACAGCCGCCTTCAATAGCCAGATGATGTGGGGGGAGCCCTAGGTGTGGGGTCTGAATATAGTCTGCTGAATATTGTGGTTCCCTGCCCCCTTCCCGTGGTTGCTGTAGACGTGGGTGTACCAGGTCTGTAACAGGTCAGGCCAATAAAACGCGAGGGCAAGTTGGCCTGTATGTTGTGGGATAGTTTTTCTTTGTTTTACAAAGGAGGCTCAGCCTGCTGGCGTGGCTCAGTGATTGAGTGTCGACCTATGAGCCAGGAGGTCATTGTTCGATTCCCGGTCAGAGCACGTGTGGGCTCCGTCCCCCGTGGAGGAGGCAGTCGATCCAGGCTTCTCTCTCTCATCGATGTTTCTATCTATCCCTCTCCCTTCCTCTCTGAAATCAATAAAATATACACTTTAAAAAATAAAATAAAAATAAAATAAAAAAGAGACCCTGAGTAGAAACGGTCCTTTGTTGTTGCCTCTAAGTGTGGGTGTGATGTCTGGAGCTGCAGTGGCACCATGAGGCCAGGAGACAGACAAGCCTGAGCAGCTCCTCCAGGACAGAGTGGAAACATTGAGCTGGTCAGCCCAGGAACTACCCTGAGTCGTGACCTCTTGTTATCTGGTAATCCAGGTCCCCATTGTTTCAATCATTTTGCGTTGTGTGTCCTGTCACGTACATCCCTGGCCACCATATTACCTGTGATTCGCACGGAATCCATGGGGGCAGCCCTGGGTGGGAGTGTTCTTTTCCGGCTGCTCCCCATCCTTGTGATAGGATCGCCCTCACCGAGCTTGTCTTCCCAGCTCTTGCTGAGGGGGCTGCACACCCTGGTCGCTGCGGGAGCAGTGGAGGCCTGTCCATAACCCGGACAACTGTATGGAGTAGCTCTGATGCACCTCCCTGGCCATAGCAGCAGAGGGGGTCTGCGGCAGAGCCCTGACCCAGACTAGACCCCATCAGAGTCTGCCTGCTAGGACTTCAGAACCAGGACCCGGTCGTTCTTGGGACTTGACATTTCAAGGGCATCTTTGGCTACTATGTGTGAAGAAAAAGAAGGTGGTCTGTGGAGAGACAGAAAAAGCCCATGACGGAAGCCACACATGTAGAGAGAGAGGAGAGAAGCAGAGAGATTTTGCAAGAGGGAGACAACCGTAATATCGCACACGGCTTTTCGATTCTGTTTCCTGTCCCTGGTGAGGCCCAGAGACCTAGCTCTTGCCTGGATTCTAAACTTCTAATAACATTGTCATTTTTGCTGAAGTCAGCTTAACTGGATTTTACTTCTTGCAAGCGAGATCCCTGAAAAACACCTTGGGAGCCAGCAACGAGGAGGTCCCGATTACAAGCTCCGGTGTCAAACATTATGAGAAATTTATCCCTGGCCTCGAAATCTGCCGTGGGGCACCCTAGGAGAGGTCATCCCAGACTCCAGTCTCTGCCGCTGGGTCTCCTGGGAGATGCAGTCCTACCCTCAGTTCCTGGGGAAAGGCATCCTGGGAAATGTGGTGCCAGTCTGCAATTTCTATTGGGGGGAATCATGGCAAAGGCGAAATTATCCTCACTTTTAATTATGGAGCATCTCAGAAAATGTTATCTTGGGAGATGGAGTCCATGCCCAGTTTGTTTGGGTTGTTTTTTTTTGTTTTTCTTTTTGTTTGTTTGTTTTTTATTGATTTCAGAGAGGAAGGGAGAGGGAGAGATAGAAACATCAATGATAAAAGAGAATCATTGATTGGCTGCCTCCTTCACACCCCCTACTGGAGATCGGGCCCTCAACCAGGCATGTGCCCTTGACCAGAATCGAACCTGGGACCCTTCAGTCCAAAAGCCAAACCGGCTAGGGCCCATGCCCAGTTTTTGATAACACAAAAGATGTAGTCTTTCCTCCCTTTGTTTCCTCCTTTTCTCCAGCACCTGCCATGTCCCAGGCACTAGCCTACGTACTAGTCTAGACAGTAGTGAGCAAATACAAGGCCTTGCCCTTTGTGGATATTATAGCAAAACAAGCAAACACGCGATTGTTCCAGGTAACCACTGTGGTGTAACAAAGTAACCCAAACCCAGTGGTGTACAACCACAGCCTTTTTATTTTGTGACCCTGTGGGTCAGGAATTTCAGCGAGGCTCAGCCGGGGCAGCGCGTATGTGCCCCGCAAGGGCCTGGAGCCCACATGGGCTGGCTTCAACAGCTGGAGATGAAGGGAACGGGTCTCGGGGGCCCTCTATCTGAAACCTTGGTTCTGGCTATTAACTGGCATTGTGGGTTGAATGTGTCCCCTCAAAACATATGTTGAAGTCGTAACCCTCAGGATCGATGAATGTGACCTTATTTGGAAATACGGTCTTTGCAGATGTGATTAAGTTAAGATGAGGTCATACTGGGTTAGGGTGGGCCCCTAAATCCACGGCTGGTGTCCTTATAAAGAGGGAGAGAGATTTGGAGACGCACAGCCACATTCGCAGAGAAGAAGGCCACGTGACGACAGGCAGCGGGTGGAGTGATGAAGCTGTGAACCAAGGAGCGTCACGGATTGTCAGATTGTCGGCAGCACCCAGAGACTTTAGAAGGAACATGGCTCTGCCAGCACTTGGATGTTGGGCTTCCAGCAGCCAGAACTCTGAGAGGATGAATGCCTGTGGTTGAAGCCACCCAGCTGTCCGTTTGTAGTAACTGATAGCAGCCCTAGGCAATGGGAGCAGCTGGGCCTCCTGCCTCCCCTGCACGGGGCATCTGCTGGGGCGGCGATGTCCAAGGCAGCTCCTTCGCGCCTGTGCGGTGCCCGGGCTGAGAGGACTGGACCATCTGTGTCTCTCTCTCCATATGGCACCCATGCATGGGCAGCTTGGGCGGCCTCACGGCACGCCGGCTGGGCCCAGGAGGACTTTCGCACGGCAGCTGGCTCCCCCGGAAGCGGACAGCTCCTGGAAGCCTGGGCCCAGAGCGGGGCCTGGCACCCCTCCCGCCACATCCTATGGGTCAAAGCGGTCACAGAGCCACTGTGTTCAAGACCCCCTCTCTTTAAGCCAATGACAGTTGGCAACATGTGCTTTGGGGCGGTCCTAAGAAGAGACCTAGTCCCAAGCACCAGGGAAGATGACGTATCTCTTTCCTCATTTTCCACCGGGGCCCCCATGTAATTTGTCTCTATGGGTTTGCCTCAGTGAACCATGGACAATGCAAACTCAAGAGCGCCACTGACATGGTAGCTCTCTGTTTCTGTCAGTGAGTCTGAGGGAATCTTAGGAAATAGCGCCCAGCCATTATGTCCTGGCCCCGGAGCATCAGGGGAAATGTAGTCCTATCCTTGTTCTTCACTGCAGTGCATCAAGAGGGGCCTGGCAGGCAGGTCATCCCCCATACATCTCCTGTCTCAGAGCCGCAGGAAATGAGACATGCCCACGTAGAAGAACAAAGTAGTCTTGACCTTTGGCATTTGGGAGAAGAGATGGGAAGGTTAGTGCTGAGGTGGGTGAGTGAGAAGTTTGCATTTGGACCCCAGAAATCGATGTGGAGGTGACTTGGGGTGGAAGCCCCACAGGACTGCTCCCAAGCGGAGGCCTTGACACCTGGGTCCTACCATGTGACCCCTACTTCCAGGAGCCTAAGGAAGGGTGCCCCCATGCATCTTTGAAAGATGGACGTGCTCAGCCAATGTGGCTCAGGGGTTGATCATTGATCGACCTATGAACCAGGAGGTCACAGGTTCGATTCCTGGTCAGGGCACATGCCCGGGTTGCGGGCTCGATCCCCAGTAGGTGGCATGTAGGAGGCAGCTGATCAATGACTCTCTCTCTCATCATTGATGTTTCTATCTCTCTCTCCCTCTCCCGCCCTCTCTAAACTCAATAAAAATATATTTAAAAAAGAAAGAAAGGAAGGAAGAAAGGAAGAAAGACACTATGGAGAAGGGCAGGTCTGGCCCTGTTCATTGGTATAAAAATCTTTATATAAAGTATAAAATATTAAATAAAACAAATATTAATTAATAATAACAACAATGGGGGCAACAATATTAGTAATCACAAGAACTCCTGCTGGCCTGCAGCCTTTCTCTAGCTTTTCTCCTCCGTTTCTCATAATTCTGTGAGTCAGGTGTTTTCACAGCTGGGAACACTGAGGCCCAGAGGAGGCAGCACACTGGCCGGAAGTCACACAGCGAGGCAGCAGGCCTGGGAGCTGCGGGGAGGGCGGAGGGGTCCCCTGGATCCAGCCAGGGCAGGGAGAGTGTGGGGGTCAGGTCCAGAGGAGAGTGCCTCCCCAAAGGCGTGCAGTCACAAGCAGAGTGATGGTGAGGCTGAGGTGGGCTGGGTCGGGACGGGGGGCACCCCCCCGGCGGGACTGGGCGTCTCGGTTGGGGTGATTACAGCCGTTTCCAGTGCAGCAGGAGACATTGGGATCCGTCAATTTGAAGCCTTCAGCCACATGGAGGCCTTGGCACCAGGAGGCCGTCGCACAGCCTCGTATCGTGTAGCTCAGGTGCCCCAGCCCTGAGGAGAGAGAAGACTGTGTGACGCCCAGCTCGCGGGCCTGCGTCCCCCGGGGGGCGAGCCACCTTGTGGTGGACACCACCAGGAAGCGCAGAGGCTCTGAGCGCGGCGCAGGGGGTCTGTGACGTTCAACACATCCTCATGCTAATGCCAAAGCGCCGTTTGGCTTTTTCCGCTCCCGTGGGCGTACAGTGGTTTCTCCAGAACCACCGGGACACGTGGTCCTGCGACAGACTGGACGCAGAAGCAGCTCTGAGGACCCAGCGGCCTTCCATGAAGCCGGACAGCAACGAGATTTGCCAAAGTGTAGAATAATGCCAGTCTTCTCGTTAAACGTTTTTTTCCCTTCATTTTGGAAAATGTAGTCTTTTTCTTTCCATAAAAATATGTTCACATGTAATGAGCTTTTAATTGTTATGTTAAAATAAATTAGTAAGCACAACTTATAAAAATTTCTCTTTTGAGTTATAATGCAGTTAATATCTGATAGATATAACTGACGGAAACAATACTTTTTAGGAGGGTGAAGGGATCTTGAGACCAGAGTTTGGGAACTACTGGAACAGAGATCTTTCCAGGACGTCACAGGATGGGAGCCGGGGATGTCCAGAGGGAGTCCCATCCCTAAAACGGTCCACATTCCCGACTGGGCAAGTCCCAATTCCTTACTGCAATCTGTACCCCGCAGCAGGAAACCCATAGGAAGACCCACCTCCACCAAGTCCAGCTGGACTGGAAGATGACCTCTTCCACATCCCCCTCCAGCTCCCAAAGGGCCTCACCATTAGTGCCTGTGGCCTCCAGACACTGGTTCATGGGGCCTCGGCAGGCGGTGAGGGAGGCCTCCTCGGAGGAACATCCGTGGGTGCCGTTCCCCTGACAGCTGTAGCACTGGAGGCCATTCAGCGGCAGCTTTTCAAGCTCCGTGACTTGGGAGAAGACAAGAGACGAAGGTCATGAAAACAGGGTTAGGGTACAGGGAGCGGTGTCCTCCTGCACGGACTCCCAGCTCTCAGCCTGAGATGGCACGGCGCCCCCTTGTGGCAGACATTGGAACCGCACTGTCTTTTGGGGGTTCTCTGGGGCCCGAGGGACCAACTCTCA